TAACTGTCAAACAAAACAGAGCCAGCGCAGAAAGTTTGCTCTATCTTATCCATTTCCACCACGGAGCAGCATCATCCCCCTCCGCCCCTTAACACAGTTTGGAAAGCGAGATAGTCTCTGGACAATCACTTAGATCACCAGCATACCACAGAACATACCACTTGCCTAGCTTCCCGCCCTCTGGTCTTTGCTGTACATTCCCTAAATTAACGTTTCTGGCAATCCAGAAAGTGGAACCATTTCTGAAATTCCGTGCATAATTCATGAGCTGCCATTAATCACTGCTAGAGAAGCTATCAGCTAAAAACTATTTCCTTTTACGCCTCTGAGATGTCACAAGAAGAATGCTTTTTACTGCACTGTACACTCAACTGTAAAATTGTCAGGTGGCATAAAGCTTGCTGCTGATAAATTAACAGATGACTCTGGAAAAATTATTCTATGTCCCATTACTTAAATGGCGCTTCTGTTACCTGGAGAGCTTTCCAACCGCTGAATATGCCATTGACAGCAGTTTTGAATCCTTTAATGATAAAACAATAAATAAAATTCAGCAAAACCAGAAATATATAAAGGGTTTTTTTTAATGATTTTTTTAAATGATTTTTTATGATTAAATGTTTACTTTAAATACTGTCTCTAAAGTGCTCAAACAGGCTTTCATGGACAAAGAATCCTGGAACTGTATCCAAGAATAAAAGCATTACATAGGAACAGAGGAAGCATTCTTTTCCACAAGAAATAGAAAATTACAAATGGAGACAAAATGTGAATCTCCCTTCTGGTCTCAGCTAATTGCACTTCATTTCAAGAGAGACAGCTAAGGAGACTCAGCAAGTATATGAAACAGTAGCAAAGGTGCAGAAGCCTTCCACTGGCCCTAAAGCTGCTGCTTTACAGGCAGGAAGCTGTTTGCACAGCAGATCCTGCAGAAGACCAATGCAGCACATTTATAAATGGGCTTACATCCTCCTGAACACTCCTTTTTCATGCCCTTCCCAATGGTAGGGGAGGCCCACGTGTTCAAACACCAGCTCGAGCCAGAAAATCACATCCAACAGTTCATATAAACCAGCAAGGGGATCAAAGCAGCAGAAAAGGAGGTCTGCAACATCAGCCTTTTGTAAGATACATGTAGGAGTATTGTGGGGAATTTGCCTTCAGAAATGGCTGGACTGGCATTTGTAGTTCTGTTTGTAACACCCTTCCCATAGCAATACTATCCTTGGACAGGCAGGATGGAAGATATTACAAAAAGACTTACAGAGCTGCTTACCACAACAGGGTATATGCCTGGAGCTGGGGCCCCTGTGTGCTCCAGAGTAATGTGGAATAGCAGCTTGATGCTACTCTGGCTCACTCTTTATATTACCAACACTATTATTTCCTGAGACTTTTGCAAATAGTGTCCAAGCACCTATCCACAGCTTTTAAACAAATAGAAGTTTTCCTTTATAGCCTTTTAAAGTATTTGCTTCTCTTCCAACAAAATTTCTTAAAACGTGTCCTTTGACAGCCATCTCAGACAACTACAAAAAAGAGATTTATCAGTTTCCATCATAAAGGTATCTGTCTTTTGCTTGTATTCATATGAGGAATTATAGCTCTATAGTAAAGAACCTTTCAGCTTACCTCTTTGTATTCATTGATCAGCTTTGTAAGTCCATTTAAAAGCATTGGACCTAACGGCTTTATTTTACTTTCTGGACAACTGCAATTAGAGACACCAACAAACAAAACATTATCTTCTGCATCCTTTAAAATTATCTTCTCTCACTATAACTTTTTCTCAACTTAGTTGAGATTTGTGTGCAAGCACACACACATACACACAGATTTCAGGATTAAGGAAAAAACTCTACCTCCTATGAGTTTTAGCACTCTTTCTTTGCCCTTAGTTCAGTTACATGTTTAGTAAACAGAGTGGCTTCTAGGCAAATGGGTAAAACCCATTTGCTCACTCACTCTAAATTACTTACATGATACAAATATGATGCACAAACTGCAAGGACAAACTTCTCAGTTTTGCATTTGTGTTTGCACCAAAGAGTCCATCGTAAACCACCTGGCCAAAATTAAAAAAGAACAGATCAGAGAGTGTCTGGTCTCACTTTCAAAGGTTTTCTAATTCCTCCTCTTCTTTATAAACACTGTCATCAGTAACAGTGCTTCCCTCCCCTAAGTACTGGAGCAACTGTATTATCAAGCTCCTTAGGAAGAGCAGCTTTGGAAGGTAAGCAATACCTGAATGTTAGCTGGGAACGTTTCTGCAGCTTGCCTGGATCGCAGAAGATGAGGAACTATCTTTAATTTAACACGGGTGCTGACTGACTCTCGTTTCATTTCTGGTTTCAGAACAGACCCCTGTCAGAAACAGACTTGAAATAATATAGTGCATCTTTGGACAGCAGTACTTTTAAGTTAGCTAAATTTCCTTCTGCTGCAAATCAGAAAGCACTGGAACAGAGGAAAAATTATTCAATAGCAAAAGCGTTCAGGGAAAGCAGAGATCAAAGGAAGTGATAGAATTAAGAAATATATATGTCTTCTCCAAATAAAATAAGGAAACTAAAATCACAGCTTCCAAAATTAAACAGGAATGCAACTCTGAAGGCAAATCTTACCTCCTTGGTTTTCAGTGGTATATCCCCAAGATACACTTTATACATTTTGTTGATGATAGCAGGATTGTTCCAGTCAATTAAACTAAAGAAAAAAAAACAATTGAACACCAACATGTTATGATTCTGACCTTTGATTACTTTTAAAAAAGTGGTTTACAGCATTCTGCATCATATACATATTCTTCCCAGAGTTTTAATAGTAGTAGTCTGACTTCTAATCACTCCTCCCACATCCACACAATATATAATCATGAAGAATGTGATTACAAATTTCACCTACAAATTCTGCCAATATAATTCCAAATAATTTGTGAGAAAGCTATATGCTCCTTTCTCTCCCACTGAAACAAGATATATAAACCATGGTAGTCTACCAGTTGAATACAGAATGGACATCTGTTAACAAATTTCTGCACATTTTTCAACCTCGGTGCTCTGACATTTTGATAGAGAAGAGGGTATTTTGAACTCTAGGAATATTTCACCTTGGTATCTCAGACAAACCTGCCTGCCCATGATAATCATCTAATGCTAGATGCTGATGAGACTGTTTGGAATGCACACACACATACCCAAAAAACACACCACAGAAACCAAAAAGTTAAGCATGCATGCTTCAAAAAAGTGGAGGAGGCAGAACTCTCTCTTTCTTTCAGTAAAGCAACTGATTTCCAATCAAGTGAGCTGTGAAGTAGCATATATTTCTCATAAAAGATATTTAACATTGCATATTAATATGCATTTTGTCCACACATGTATTTTGCTCTCCAGGCAAAGAATACCAACCAACACAAAGGGAAAGATGACACAAGCAATAAAGGAGAGACTGCCTGCCTTAACCAGGCTGTTGTCACTACAATCACCTCCCCTGCCACAGCTGAGGCATATGAATAGACTTGAATGGAAAAGGTTTCACATTACATATATTTGACCCCAAGTTATATAGTCCTATACTTCTAGTAATACAGAAGCCACCTACATGTTTCAAAGGCAGGCCTCTCTTACTCCAAATTGCCTACATGAGCCAGCAAACCTCGCACGATCAGTGACTCAGCAAACAGTACCAACAGCAATTACTCTGGCCTCTTGGTGGGTTAAAGACAGAAGCATTGTCTTTAGATGATGAAAGGTGGACTGCAGATGAGCAAAAGGTTTAATAATGAAGAAAACAGTGGCTGCCAAACTTCCTAGATCATGGTCCACTTCACAATCACAGCCCCTTTACTCCCTTAATAAATTAAATGAAAGCATGCTTTTCTGGGAAAGACAATATAAATCAGTTGACCAGCTGTGAATGACTTACTAAGCCCTTATTGACCATCGATAATCCACAGAGAGCAATTTGGAAATGAAGCAGTAAGAAAATGGCTCAAAAGCAATATCAAAGATGATTGAAAACGGACAGCTAAAAGCTGTCAGCTCTGAAGCCAAGTGATGTTCCCAGCTGCAAGACTGAGCCACACCATTCCCAGCCCCGCATGAACACAGGGCAGCTTCCCAGGCACACAGGGGACTGCAGCCTTCCTCCTTTCAGAGCACAGTTTCTCTGGAGCACCACATTAATTGCAGCTAGCTTTGTTAGGAACACTAGCACCATCTTTTCCAAACATCCAGACTCGTACCTTTGTTTGCTCTTTAGTTCAAGGTCTGCTGCAGTGGCAACACTGTGTCTTGTATCACTGGAGGCTACAACCAGGTGTATAACAGCTTCAAGTTCTGGCACTTGCTCAGCTTCAATGAACTTCACTATCCCCAGCTTACACTGTGCAACAGTGGGGAAAGTAAGGGCAGCATTACTGACAGGAAAGCATGTGTTTCAATAACCGTAGCAGTTCAGCTGTCTGAAATGACAGCTTCTGCTTGCTAAGGAGAAGTTCACATGCTCTCCGTCTCTTTAGCAGCACTCTCCTCTCACCTCCTGCCAAAGTCACCTGTGGCAAAGTATCAGCATTACAATTAGGGATACTCTGCTCCTCCTCTGCTATAAAGGGATCCTTTGTCAACATAAGAGAGTTTTGCAACCTCACCGTCTTTAGGAGGAAAACGCAAGAGTAGGCTGCAGTCGTGGCTGCTTCCTAACCAGCTCTGAGAAGTGCTGGTGCCTCTCACCCCATCTCGCAGTTGCAAACTTCCTTAAGGCATAATGTAACATCGCTCAATGAATTCCCCAAGGGCAACTAAAGACCTGGTCAGAATTCGTTACTTATTTTCCCCCCGGCCTTCCGTTCCTCCGTCTGTAGCCATCCCTCCTACCACCCCCAGTTCACTGAGGGCCAGCCCTGCAACTGCACATACCTGTTCTAGCAGCTCTGGTGTCCATGGGCTATCTCCAATTACCCTTTTGGCTGCATAAAAGCTCATCCCTGGAGGCGGCTGAGGGATTCCAGGACCTCCCGCGCTACTTGTTGAAGAGCCCTGGGCTGAGGGCATGTTTTGCCGACTCTGCGATTCATTCAATACGAACCTAAGCAGGTGGGAAAGGAGTTTCATTAGAGGCTTTACCAATTCACATTGACAGCTGAATTAGATGCTAGAACAGAGGAATAAACATAACCTGTTCAACTTCACGTATTCTTCTTTAATTAATCCCATGACTCTGACATAAGGCAGAATTTTACTCAGTTGAGACTCAGCTATCATCCCAGTATATTCTGCAAGAGCCATAACCATCTCGCTATAAGTGTTTGAAAACAAACCTCAGTTAGGAAAGGAAGGGTCCACTGGCATTTCTGAAAAGAGTTATCTCAGGTTACGAACCAGAAAGAATGATCTCTTGTACTGGAAGTGAATACTCAAGACAGTACCATATTCTAGAAACTTGCACTAAAAGCTTTAACATTTGTAAGATTTCTACAAAAAATGCAAACCTAACAAGAGAAATAATGAAGTATATGCAACACAATGGAGTGGCAGGGAACAATCCTAGATATAAAAAAAATTAAATAAATAATGTCTTGGAAAACAGCAGTTTTAGTGCTGGGCCAGGAAGGAAAGCAAAAACCATAAAGGTTAAGTTTACAAATCTTAAGTCTTTTTGGAGATTGGCTAGTCTAGCTGCCCTGTGCTTATCTCCATACTCTCACAAAAGCCACTCTACCTCTCCCTGTATCCTTGAAAGCTGGTCAACACATGAAGATGTCAAAATTGTAGTGCAGAGACCAACAAGAATTATTTTGCTCCAGACAGCCATATTCTGTTCTGCATTCAGCGCACAGGCAACAAAAGGAAGTAAATGGTCTCAACAATAAGAAAAAACATTCATCCCAAGTCTCATTAGTTAAAACTCTAAACACTTGATTATGAGCTTTAAGCCCTACAGTTAGGCTTTCTGGTTGTTGTTTTACTGCATGCAGACTGGGGAGGCTAATTCACAACTGGGCAATGACAGAGCAAATTCTACCAGGCATGAATTAGCTCTAAAAGGCCTGCAAACAGTCTCAACCCAGGGAGCAAGACTTTAAGAGACAGACATCCAGAGCCACAGGCTAGCTGAAGGCACACTCCAAGCACCTTCCGGAAAGAAAACGAAACTTTCACCCCTACCCTCATGGTCTGAGTATTTAAAAATTGTCATGCTTGGCCAGAGTACAAAAGCATGGAAGTGAAGTCTCACTGCAAAATTCAAGGACTTCACCTGCTGAAGCTAGAGTCATGACAGTGTGGAGGTAAAGCTAAGAGTATAAACCTGGGCAAACTGAAGAGTCTGAGCTGTGAACAGAGAAGCAGGCTAAGCATTTTAAACTATAAGCTGCAAGACTCTGCACACTCAAATGGTAAGGAAACGGCCCCCAAAACATCTGATGGGAGCATGGTCTCCAGCAAAGCTATGTGGGTAAACATCACAGGCTCACTGTTTTAAGTCATTCCTATAGGTTAATCCACTTGGGTGAGCAAGAGTTAGGTGCTCACAAAAATCCTATGGGAATCAATGAACTGTCAGAAAAAAGGGAAATGTGTTCTACTGTTAAAATTATTTCTATTTTCTTTCAAAACAAAAGCTCCCCTAGGAATACAAAGACACTAAAAAAGTTAGTGGAAAATAGATTTTGCGAAAGTATTGATTTTAGACCCTAGAAGATTCCTAAAAACAGCGATCAGTAAATTCAAGTTGCTCTGTAAATCATTGTTGCTCTCAGAAACAGTGCTCACACCAAGAGAGGCCATTACCGTTAAAACATTTTTTCATCAGAAGAGAGCTGAAAGACAAATCTTGTTATTAAAGTTTCAATTCTGGAAAGCACAAGTTTTCAGAGATTATGCTTGCTTATGGTCTTGGATGAATAAGCCTTAAAACTCAATTGTGGGAAGATGAGCACAGACTTTGATCTGGCTTCTATTTTGTAGGTTTGGTTATTTAACAGATAGCTCACATGTCTCATAGCTTCACTTTGATCCCAAAAGAGGTCAAGGACAGAATAGCGTAACACCTAATTAAGTGGAAAAAAGACATTTTGTTAAATAAGAAAGATGGTGATCCCATTCTTAAAATTAGGACCCTGCTTTGTATCTTACTGAAACATGTAACAGGCTTCATTTGAGCTAGGAAATAACAGCACATTTTAAATATGTTTCCAAGGATGCAGTTTGTAATGTTTCACATATAAAGAACACATCAGTAGTAGAGAAGACTAGTATTAACTTTTACTTACCCATAAGGCATAAGAAGAACATCCAACATGAAGTCCAAAAGCAGCTGTACAGTCTTTGGTTTTTCAGCAAGATTAAATGGAGAAGCTGCTGCTTTCAGTGGTTCA